CTAATATTTGTATTATTTATTTGTATATAATGAGTGGCTTATTTTGTTAACAAATCCTTTGAACCTGAGACAAAAGTGAAAACTTTTGGCAAAAAACAACTGCCCATTGTACCTGGAGGACTCTTAGAAACACTGATGTCTTTGGTGCTATCCCCAGAAATTCTGATTTAAGTGATTTAGAATATAGCCATCCATTAGTTGGGAAGATCCCCTGGAGAAGGGAAAGGCTACCCACTCGAGTATTCTGGCCTGGAGAATTCCATGGACTGTATGTATAGTCACAAAGAGTCGCACGCGACTGAGCGTCTTTCACTTCACTTAGGTCTTCCCTTGCGGCTCAGCTGGTAAAGAATCCACCAGCGATGTGAGAGACCTGGGTTCGATCCCTGGGTTGGGAGCTCTGGAGAAGGGAAAGGCTATACCTACCCCAGTATTCTGGCCTAGAGAATTCCATTCCATGGGGTCGCAAAAGTGGGACATGACTGAGCGACTTTCACTTTCACCCATTAGAATTTTTAAAAAGCTCCCCAGGTGACTCCAATGAGCAGTCAGGTTTGAGAATCACTGCCAGTGTGTGTTCCCCCCAAAAGAGATCTAATCTCAGTCCTTAACCTTGGCCTGATTCGTTTAACCGTAGTCCCAACCACTTTCCACATTGATTAGCTCAAAAAATGTAGACCAGTTTGGTCAGCACAAACATTTCAGCGACTGGACTGAGTAGGGCAGGGGTTCCCCAACCTTTTTAGCACCAGAGACCAATTTCGTGGAAGACGAAAAATCTTTCCACAGACCAGTGGTGGAGGGGGGATGGTTTGGGGATGATTCAAGTGCATTACATTTATTTTGCCCTGTATTTCTAATCTAATGCCACTGCAGATGAGATAGCGGCCCAGAGGTACCCTGGAGTAGGGGGATGTAGATTGCTCTTATCTCTTGTTAAAGAAAGTCCTTCGCTTTCAAGAGGCAGCAGCAAGATGGAAGGTCATGTGGGTGTGAAGGCAAGAACAACTGTGGACAGCGCTCAGGAGCGCAGCTGCCGAGGGGGAGAATTGGAGCGCCGAGCCGCTCACGGAGCTCAGCCAGCCTCTGAGCCCTGCTGTGTAGCCCCAGGTTATCTTTTGATTTACAGGAGCGTGACCCCATTTGTCTCAGTTTTCTTCTTGTGCATTTCTACATTTCAAGGACATCAGTCACACTGGATTAGAGCCCACTTCCCTGGTGGCTCAGAGGATAAAGGGTCTGCCTGCAATGCAGGAGGCCCTGGTTCGATCCCTAGGTTGGGAAGATCCCCTGGAGAAGGAAATGGCAACCCACTCCAGTATTCTTGAATCCCATGGACAGAGGAGCCTGGCGGGCTATACAGTCCACGGGGTCCCAAAGAGTTGGACACGACTGAGCGACTTCACCTTAAGGCCCTTATTAACGGATTACATCTACAAAGATCCCATTTTCAAATCAGGCCACATTCTAAGGCACCAGGGAGTTAGACTTCAGCGTATCTTTTAGGGAGACACAGTTCAATCCATAACAACAGTCAACAGCTGGGGTAGGTGGAATAGGGCTCCCAAATACGTCCAAATTTTAGTGAAATACTGAGACCAAGGTTAGATGTGAGGGGGAAAAATGTATCTAGACATGTTACACTGATTCTAAAAGCTTCCCGAAAGAAAGGGTGCTCTGCTTAGCTGGTCAGTCATGCCTGACTCCTTGAGACCCCATGGACTATAGCCTGCCAGGCTCCTGTCCAAGGGCATTCTCCAGGCAAGAACAGTGGAGTGGGTTGCCATTTCCTACTCCAGGAAAGAAAGGGTAGAACACTATAAACAAGCAAGAAGTGGGAGTTTAGAATCTAACCCCTTTCTCTTCCCTGAACTCCAGATTCTCATGTTTCATATTCCCAACTTGGGAATTTGGTATTTCTTATTTGATATTTCCACTTGGATAGCAACCAGGAATCTCAACATTTTGCCCAAGATATTACTCTAGGCTTTCCCCCTCCAAACCTACTTGCCCCTTTTATCAGTGAGTTGCAGCTCTTTCCAAGTGCTCAGTCCAAGAACCTGCAATTAATCCTTGACTCCTCTCTTTCAGTCATAACCTGTATACAGTTCATCAATTTCATTTACAATATATCTTGACTACTTCTCACTATCTCCATGGCTACCACCCATCTCTCTCCTGAGCTGTTACTGTAGCCTCTTTGATATCCTTCCTGCCTCTACTCTCGCTCTCCTCTAGTCTGTTTTTCAACACAGTACCCTGGGTGAGCTTTAGCATGAGTCAAAGAATGTCATGGAACGCTCTCATGATGGAACTCTCTCCAAAGGCACTCCAAGTTAACTTCAAATTGAAGACAAAATCTTCCCAGTGGCCTAGGAGGCCTCTCAGTGGCACACACGATCTGACCCTCAACTACCTTTCTGATCCTATCTCCCTGCACATCCTTCCTTTGCTCACTGTGCTTCAGCCTCAGTGGCCTTGCTTATTCTTTGAACTTCTCAGACTTACACCTACCTCAGGGCCTTTGTTCTGAGAATACACCTCTCTTAAGTTATCCTCTGGCTCACTTTTTTTCATTCAGGCCTCTGTTCAAATATTAACTGATCAGATCTGTCATCCAAACTCAATATTCTGCTGTACAGATCATCTCCTAAATATACCATTATACTTTTCCTTCTTTCGCTTGTTCTCAGCATCCATCAACTAGAATGTAGTTTTATATAGACAGGGACGTTTTCTGTTTATTGATATTTTATTGCTTGTTTTATTAATACTTCTCTCACTATGAAGTTTTTCCCTCTCCCGTATTGTGAGACGTGATATGCACGAATACTCATAAAGGAACCTAGACAATGTGTCAGTTTTGCTTTCACACTTGTGTCATGCTGGTGCTAAAGGGAACTATTGATTGATGGGTAATAAAGTTGCACTGAGTCTTGGATTTCTCCATGTTTCAGACCAGTTGTATTCTGCTTTCCTATTCATATTTTGAGTCCTCAGAACCAAATACTGAGCATTATCTCACCCACTTATAATTAGGTTATCTACCCAACATCCTGCATGCCTCTTAGAAGATTTTTGTTTTATTTTTATCCTGTAAACTCAAACTTTCCCCTATCATCTTTCTGTCTTTCCTCCACATTGCCGTGCTCTACCTGAACTTTTCAAGCTCCAGGCAACCTGCCTCATCTCTCAGTAGATCCAAGCAAGGCAGGTCAAAAGCAAGGAAATGTTTTCTGGGACGGAAGAAAGTAGGGATTTAGTACAATAACTAGGAGACAAGTTACCTGCTTTTGATTGGGTGGGACGGATGAGAGGTAATGCAAATCACACTGGAAGATAGTATTTGGGATTTTATGTACATACATAAGAAAAAATGAACAAAAGGGTGCTTGCAGTGTGCTTAACATCTCCCCCCCCCCCCCCCCNGGCCCCCCAGGAAGTTTCACCTTTATACCTTGCAGTACTTTATCTTCTGTTCTCATTTGACCTCCTTAAAATGCATTTTTAAACCTCAGTAAAGGCTGAAAATGTTAAGTTCTATGCAATATTTGGTACTCTGTATTAATGAGGGAATAAATGAAACTAGTTGTGCATGTTGCTTTACAAACAATTCTGGGAAAGGACAATTAGGAAAAAAGAAAGAAAATGTCTAGGGTGGGAACTGCAAACTGAACAAGTTCTTCCCAAGCAATATGGGAATCTCATATCTAATCTGTCAGTGGTTATCAAACATTTGAATTACTTGACGTGTTCCATAGACTGTTCATCCTTGTCCCCCCACCCCCGACCCCCCCACCAAGGCCTGGAGATTTGGATTCAGTGGAAGTATGTAGGATTTGATGGGTAGATAGATAAAGATCTAATGGCCTTTGAACTGTTTTTAGGAAACACTGCTTTTTAACCATCTAGTCTAAAAAAAGGTGAGGGCCTTTATTCTCTCATTTTTGGTGTCTCTGTTTTCAGAGGAGGGAATTGTTCCAGGGAAGGGGCAAGTGGTTTTAAGGCTAAATAGGTTTAACAACAACAAAAAAGCTGCTGGATAAAGTCTCTGGAGCACATTTTAGGATTGGCAGGCCCAGGTTCTTGAAGTCCAGGACTCTAAAGCCTCTCTCCTTCTTGCTTCTTTACCCAAATTATAAAATAGCAAAACTACAACTATAGGGAATTGTGTTGGTATCAACATGGGGGTGGGGGGGGGTGGTGGTGGTGGTGGAATTTACTATGGGTAACAGTGGCTTTTGTATTACCTTATTCTGACAGTGTTGCTTAATATCTAGAATTTGGGCAAAATATTGACTTCAGTGTAGGCATCTGAAAGGAACAGCAAAGTGAGACAAGAAGTGTGTGTAGATTAAAAATTACTTGAACTATGTGTCCACTGGATGAAAAATGTCACCTGCCATCTCCATAATCAAAGGATGTGGCCATCAAGCCATCTAGCCACTGCAGCCACCCTAGTCATCCCGGGATTCAGGATAGAGAAAAACAGGATACTGGTCCTAGATAGTGAAAAGTGTGTATCAAAGGAACGATGTCAGTCAGCCTGCTCTTCCAACTTTCCATACACATAATAAAGAAGTGCCAAGTTCATTGAGGTTTTTCCTTTAGCCGAAATTTCTGATGAATATTCAACTACCTGGTTTGTTTTTGCAAAACTGCTATATACTCTGGTTCCGCCCTTACCTCCTCCCAACAGCCCCTCAGTGCTCGCTATTTGAAAGGCTGTCTCCCGGGCTTAGGAGTGTTAGTTGCTCAGTTGTGTCTGAGCCTTCGCCACCCCGTGGGCTGGAGTCTGGCAGCCTCCTCTGTCCATAGCATTCCGCAAGAAAGAATAAATACCGGAGTGGGTAGCCATTCCCTTCTCCAGGGCATCTTCCCAACCCAGGCCATCAAAGCCAGGTCTCCTGCCCGGCAGGCGGATTCTTTACCATCTTAAACCACGAGGGAAGTCCATCTACGGGGCTTAGGTCCACAACAAATTACGGAATAAAACACAATTAGTAACTCAGGTTGCGCTTTTTTCAGTGGACACACGGAATCAAGATAACCAGGTGCACTGTAAGTTTTCTATTCATGCTGGGGCATGGTATCAAAATATCGCTTTTTAAAGTAACATTAAGTGTGGTTTTTGAGCTCAGGAAAGAGTTGACCCACTCTATCTGCTGTAAAGCAACTAATGCTTAATTTTAAGTCCACCAGCCCCTCCCCCGAGTAGATTTACACTGACCACCCATCTCGCACGGATTCACTGGAAAAGGCAAGTTACTTGTATGAGGGAGCGATTAATTACTCTAGCTAGTTCTGGACCGATCGCCAAAACTTAGCCCTCTCCGGAGTTCTTCCACTTCAACCTAAGAGAAAGGCCAGTTCTTCCTAGAAAAAGAATCGGCGGTACAAAAATGTACCGTAACAGACAGCAAAAATGAAGTAAAAAGATGACAGCTTCTTCCCCTGAGAAGGTGGGTGGCTCTGAAAAGAACCTTTAGAGCGTCAAGTAGCTGGGCGACTCGTGCGAGCGCCGCGTCCCGGCAGGGACTCACTTGGAGCTGGTGTACTTGGTGACCGCCTTGGTGCCCTCGGACACGGCGTGCTTCGCCAGCTCGCCGGGCAGCAGCAGGCGCACGGCCGTCTGGATCTCCCGAGACGTGATGGTCGAGCGCTTGTTGTAATGCGCCAAGCGCGACGCTTCGCCCGCGATGCGCTCGAAGATGTCGTTGACAAACGAGTTCATGATGCCCATGGCCTTGGACGAGATGCCGGTGTCCGGGTGCACCTGCTTCAGCACCTTGTACACGTAGATGGAATAGCTCTCCTTGCGGCTGCGCTTGCGCTTCTTGCCGTCCTTTTTCTGGGCTTTGGTGACGGCTTTCTTGGAGCCCTTCTTGGGCGCGGGAGCGGATTTTGCCGGCTCAGGCATCACGGCAAGCACAAGCTGCGGCACCTAGCGGGAACGCAGACAACAGGAAGCACCCGGACTGACCGGCAGCGACTGGGTACTTGTAGAGGCTGTAGGCAAATTAAGGTTCTGATCACGCCCCGCTGCGATTGGCGAGTTTTCAGTGGCTCTCTCGCGAGGGAGACGAGGTTATGTAAATGAGTGGATTCTGACTGCGCTATCCTATTGGTCACGAGGCCGAAGATGTGCTGTAGCCAATCAAAGCGTTTCGTAGACAATCGCCGTTCTGTCTATAAAAGGGTGAAGCGGGGCTGTGGAGGGCGACTTTGTCGGGCGTTTGGCGGGAGCATCTGTTAGTGGGTGGCGCTGTCATGTCCGGTCGTGGCAAGCAAGGTGGCAAGGCCCGTGCCAAGGCCAAGTCGCGCTCGTCCCGCGCAGGCCTGCAGTTTCCGGTAGGGCGGGTGCACCGTCTGCTGCGCAAGGGCAACTACGCTGAGCGCGTGGGGGCTGGCGCGCCCGTCTACATGGCGGCGGTCCTGGAGTACCTGACCGCCGAGATCCTGGAGCTGGCGGGCAATGCGGCGCGAGACAACAAGAAGACGCGCATCATTCCTCGCCACCTGCAGCTGGCCATCCGCAACGACGAGGAGCTGAACAAGCTGTTGGGCAAGGTCACCATCGCCCAGGGCGGCGTGTTGCCCAACATCCAGGCTGTGTTGCTCCCGAAGAAGACCGAGAGCCACCACAAGGCAAAGGGCAAGTGAGGCCCGGTCTCCGGAAGCCCTCCCTAGCGCTCCTGTAGAAGAGGCATCTGTAAAATCAAAAGGCTCTTTTCAGAGCCACCCACGCTTTCAAATAAAGGGTTGTCAACAGTAACTTCTCGATTCCAGCCTTGGCGGTAGTAAACGGGGAAGCCCCGCCTGGGCTGTGATCGATCGTAAAACCTGGGACTTAAGGCAGGTGAAGGTAGGAAACTTGAGCGCGCCACGGTCGCTTCAAGTTCTAAGTGCTCCGCGATGGTTTCTATTTGGAGTCGGATGTCCAGTGCTCGACACCAGTTGTTCCCCAGGCCTTTGCCCAACTTGAGGTCTTTGGCCAACCAGCGGGATGTTCCGTCACACGCATATATCTCGGACACCCCCAGTCTGTTAAGGAAGCGGGCAGATTTGAAGAGGATGGCGGACTTGGGCTTTTGACTTGAGTCTACTGTCTTAGAGAAAGATGCCTTAGCGGTGGAGGTACAGGTCCCCAGTTCGGCTTTTGGAAACGGAATCTCGCGCCCTGCCGCGGGGGAGATAACTTTCTGACCTTTAAAGCACCGAAAGGCGGAAAACAAGATCCGTTCGTCCAGCCAGCCAGGCCAGGGGACCTCTGGAAAAGTAACTGCGTTCAGGGTGCTGGGGGCGGGGGTGCTGCAAACAGAAGGCCGGGCTTCAGTTTGGGAGTTAGCGTAGAAAGGAAGAGGGTATCGCAAGTAGTGTGTTCTAAGGGACTGAGAAGGACCATGGTCACAGCTGCTCCCAAATATGATGACTCTCACCCTGAAATAAATGAAAACCGAGGAGGGGAGAAACTAGGCAAACTGGAAAGTAGAAAGGGAGGCGGATGGGCCGGGGGTGGGGCGGCGTAGGGAGGAGTCGGCCCAAGCCAATCAGTGGCGCCAAGGCGGATGACGCCCCAGCCAATGGATAGCCAGCGCGGGACTTTCAAGTATTGTCCCGCCCAACTGGGAAAAGACTGTGCCTATAAAGACTGCTGCAGCGGCCGCACCCCTGCTTACTCTCCCTGCGCGGCGCTGCTCCCGGGAGTTCGCGTCTCGGTTCGCTATGGCTCGTACGAAGCAGACTGCCCGCAAGTCGACCGGGGGCAAGGCCCCGCGGAAGCAGCTGGCCACCAAGGCCGCTCGCAAGAGCGCGCCGGCCACGGGCGGCGTCAAGAAGCCGCACCGCTACCGGCCGGGCACCGTGGCCCTGCGGGAGATCCGGCGCTACCAGAAGTCGACCGAGCTGCTGATCCGCAAGCTGCCGTTCCAGCGGCTGGTGCGCGAGATCGCGCAGGACTTCAAGACGGACCTGCGCTTCCAGAGCTCGGCCGTGATGGCGCTGCAGGAGGCGAGCGAGGCCTACCTGGTGGGGCTGTTTGAAGACACGAACCTGTGCGCCATCCACGCCAAGCGCGTGACCATCATGCCCAAAGACATCCAGCTGGCTCGCCGCATCCGCGGGGAGCGGGCTTAAGAAGTGTGCGCTCGGCTCGAGGTTCCATCAAATCCAAAGGCTCTTTTCAGAGCCACCCACGACTACACTTGAAAGAGGCTGTGTCGCTTGTCCACCCTCTCTTGGCGGGCCTTCGCGTACTCCGCGAGGGTAGGGCGCGGCGCGCTCAAGACGGGAGGGCCTTAGAGCGCGCAAAGCACTGGACTCCCGACAGATACAGGCTAAAGGCCACTTGTACGGTCTAAACCCCTGCTTGCTGCTGCCTTCCCGGGTGTCAGTAACTTCAGAGTTGGGTCAGCGTGCTTGTCTGGGCTGGCGGGTTGCCGCCGCTTCCTTGGGCGTGCCCAAGACGTCCGGTAGGCTCGTGCTCTTTTGGGGAGTCTTGGAGCTGGGTTGTAGCCCAGAACTGGAATTTGTCCCGGGAGCGTGGGTAGGGGCCGGGGAGGCGAGTTGAGACGAGGCGGAGTGACTCAGGATTCGCGGGCTTGAGTGGGCCGGGCTGGCTTTTTAGGCGGCTGAGAGCCAGGCGCAGATCTGACCTCTCCCGCGCCGGAAAGGGCCCCTCCCGCCGGCGTGGATCTCCCGCTTGGGAGGGAGGGAAATCGCCTCCTCGTTCCACGCCCATTTCGGCGTAAAGTGCGGCATTCCTGACCCTGGCTGCAGGCTGAATGTCAGTTATGCCAGGACTTCTCTCAGGGAAAATATTAGCGGATGCTATTCATCCCCTTACCCCACTCTATCATGATTCCCGCGCAAGCCTGAATGATTTTGCCTGGTATTTTAAGCCCTTAACTTTGCTCCTTTCAAATACCAACCCAACTCAGACAAGTACCACTAGCTTTGTGCTGGAATAGACCAAAGGATGGAGAAGGATCTTATGTCTCCGGCCGGGCATGCAGTTCGGACAGTCGAGTGGGTTTGACCTGCCCGAAGGAACAGCGGGGGAAAGAGGATGAATGGACCAGGGTTCGTGGGCCACCGTAATCTAGGTCTCTACCTGACCACTCGGTCTTGTCGGTATTGTTCTCCACTCCACAGCAGGAGACGGATTCTTCCTGGAGACATCCTGAGGTGCACAGGCCTGAGCTCTGTTTAGTTATTTGAGAAGTTACTCAGCTCAAGACTCTCGGAATTGAAGCTTAGGGCAGCACTGAAACCAGTGGAAGGCAGAACAGAGCCTCTCCCTTGCACCCATCCCCCTGGCCCCAGGATTTGAGAGCAGAGATTTGACGTTGCCTCAGAGGAGTGGATTCCTGCACCACATGACAGCGGAAGTCTAAGGTCTCTTAGTGTCTTTTAGGAACAAAGCTGTTCACCTCGGGGGGTGGAGAGCAGAGTCCAGAAGTGACTCAGAAGCCACCTATTTCTAACCTTGAGTATGGCCTGTTTGCACCTGAAGAGGTCAGAGTTCGGGGGGTTTGTGTTTCAGCACAGTTGGTAAAAGCATTACCAGAGATGAATGAAAATGCACTGAGGGGAATAGAAATTGAAGTAGACACACTGTTGAAAACTTTTGCCCCTTGCAAGGAGTTGGGGGTGGGGGAGGGCAAAGAAGAGCAGAGTGGACTGTAGCCTCTGACAGCAGGTACCCAGTTTTTAGCCCCAGGCTCACAAAGATTTTCAGAAAAGGGCTGAAATTATGGGCTGAATTGTGTCCCCCAGCCACCCATTCATATGTCGAGGCCCTAACTCCTAGTACCTCAGATGTGACTCTGCTTGAGGACAGGACCTCTAAAGCGGTGATCGAGATTAAAATGGTGTCATTAAGATAGGTGCTAATCCAATGATTGGTATCTGTATGAGAGAAGGGGATCAGGCCACAGACAGCAGAGGGACGGTCTTGGGAGGACACAAGAAGGCAGCCATCTGTAAGCCAAAGAGACAGGTCTCAGAAGAAATCAAGCCAGCTGATATCTTTTTCTATTAATTTGTTCATTTATTTCATTTACTTGGGTACATTGGGTCTTAGTTGTGGCAAAGCGTGTGGGATCTTAGTTCTCCAACCAGGGATCGAACCTGTATCCCCTGCATTGCAAGGTGGATTCTTCACCACTGGATCACCAGGGAAGTCCCCCTGTTGACATTTTGATCTTGGACTTCTAACCTTTTGAACTGTGAGAAAATAAAGTTAAGATGTTTGAGGCACCCAGGCTGTGCTATTTTGTTATGGCTGCCCTAGGAAATGAATACAGACACAGGGTCTCATTCCCTGCTCAGACCAACGCTGCAAGATGGGTTCCTCAGGACCTGTGTTTTATGAGATACAAGCAGAAGCACCAGTGACTCAGGGCTGGGCAGGGGTGGCCTGTGTGCACCCAGCATCTCATCCACTGACACTTGTTTGCAAAGTTACAGCCTGAAGTTCTCAGACAGTGTGTGACTTCCCAACGCATCTGAGCCATTAATGGCCGAGCAGCCCCCTGAGTGTATAGATGTCCATGTCAGGGCTTTTCCTCCAAAGATCATATTTCCTGAAGTAATACTACTAACACATCAGATTTTAAAGCAGGTATCTAAGATCTCCCCGCGGACCTGAAATTTGGGGTCAGTCTGGGGGCACCTCTCATGGCTAAGGCAGTTCAGGGCTTCCTAGCTCCTCAGGAATGTCTGTCCTGCCTTCCTCATTTTTCTAACAACCTCTGTTAACTTCTGCAACAACAGTGGAGTGCTCACGCACCAAACGCAACAGTTAGAGGCTGTGAATGGAGAATGGTGAAAGAGAGAGGGAGGCGCACTGGTCTCTTGCTGGTGGAAAAGGGGAGGCCCTCCCTGGTTGGCGTTTCCTGGTTTCTTGTCAAACGTGAACTCCTTAAGGGCAGAGTCTTGTCTGCGTAATTGATCTCTCTTCAGGGCCGCTACGTAATGGGGCTCTGGGCCTCGACTGTGGAAGTGTACTCTCTTCAGCTCTCTAAGCCCCCTGTCCTCACATAAGGCCAAGAAGCAACAGGCAGTGCAAACTGATGTCTGCACACTCACTTTCTGAGAAAGCGAGACCTGTCTGACCCAACCCTCTTCACCCAGTGGAGGATCAGGCCTCGGCAAGACACTACGGCCTCACCAATCAGCAGCCATCTTGGGGATTTGCCCCACAAGCTTATGACAACAGAATCTGGTTTTCACTGTGAGCATGTTCTAGGAGGACTGAGGAATTCTCCAGTGCCTTCAGGGCTTCCCAAACTGCCACAGACATTTTAGTGACAGCTTTGGCTCAGTAGTCAAGAATCCGCTTATCATGCAGGAGATGCAAGGGACACAGGTTCCATCCCTGGGTGAGGAAGATCCACTGGAGTAGGAAATGGCAACCTGCTCTAGTATTCTTTCCTGGGAGATTGCATGGCCAGAGGAGCCTGGCGGGCTACAGTTCATGGGGTTGCAGGACACAGCTGAGCCACTTAGCAAACATTGATACCTTTTGGGCAATAGGACAAAGTTGACATTCCTACCGCTATTCTGTGAAGGTCAAACTTCCTAAGCCTAATAGAAAACTTTGGAATGTCTTCACTGTTTGCAAAACTAGGGTGAAGTAGTACCCAATATTTTTAATGGCAGTATCAAAATTTGATTATTTTAGGTACTTAAATAATTTCCCAATTTCAGATGACAAAAAAGGAACTCAAGCAAAAAAATCAATTCACATTATTTTTTAAAGTTTCATCATGTCCAGCCTGTTTCCAGAAAAAGCTGGCCATGGCATTGGCTTGTTTTTTGGACTTTGGGTCCTTTAATCAGAAATGACGGTGGCCCCAGCTAAGGCAGTGGCTAAGAGTGAACAGAGATAAAATGATGGACTTGAGAGAATTATAGAAAGTAAATTTGATAATATTTGGTGATAGAGGTATTTGGAGAATGCAAGAGAGGGAGGAGCCTCTCCTTGACTTGAGAAGCCAGGAGATAATGGTAGATTTCACTAAGGTGGAGAATTTAGGGAGAAGAAATTGCTTTTGGAACCAAAAAGCTGCAGTAAGTCCTTTACAACATTAAAGCTGAGATTCTGGTTATCCATCTAGAGTACATTCACCAGGAGTTAGGAATATTAATTTAATCAGCAAAGGGGCTCAGCTGGAGCTACTCAGGGGGAAGTCCTTAGGAGATAAATAAGGATAATAGAAGGCAGAGAATTAGATGAGATCTACATGGACAGAGGAGCCAAGTGGGTCACAGCCCATAGGCTTTTAAAGAGTCAGACTGAAGAGACCTAGCACTCATGCACCCAGGAGTCAGAAGAGAAGACAGGCAAGAAGGAACAGTGATGGGGCTCATAGATGAAGAGAACATCAAGAGACAGAACAGCCAGAAAAACAAGAGGACCATGAAGAGAATGTCCCAAAGAGGCAAAGATGGTCATCACAGGGACTCTGACCATGCTTTATGTTTGTTTTGTATCTCTTTTAATCACCAAGACAACCCTGCAAGGGAAGTAAACAGTTTATTCTCATTTTAGACTAGGCAGCTTTGAGTATTTTACCCAAGCTCTCACAGCTAGGGCAAGGGATTCTGAGCAAGGCACTGGGGCTCCGAAGTTCACATGAAGCAAGAAACACCAAGTAAAGGGCACATACTGGAAGCTGGGAGGGGAAATGCCAGAGGGTGCATGATTGAACACCAAGTTGATGGCCCCACTGCTTCAGCGGAATCTTCTCCACCTGCTTACCCAGTCTCCACCTGTCTCCTATCATCAAGTGGAGAAAAATCTCCACCCAATGCCAGAGCTGAGCTTGTCCCTCATGTGCTGTACAGTCTTTCCATGCCCTCCACCCCATCACCTTCAGAATGGAACCCACACATCAAGAGTCAGTACAGAGAGGCAGGGGCTAAGTGCAAGGCCCCAGACGTGACTTTGAGTCCTTGTTCTGCCTCTTACTACCTGCATGACTGTGGCAAGATGCTTCATCTCACCAGGCCTCAGTTCCTCATCTGTAAAATGGAGATAATGGGACTAGCCTGGTGGTGGTGTTTGGAATTATTTAAAGAAACAGTTCCAGTAAAGTGGCAAGCAGTGTGTGAGTCAAAATAAACCCTAGAAAAGATTATAATGCTATTATTAGCAATTTAGAAAATTGAAACAAAATTATAAAGATAAACCTCCTTATATGTAGGTTAAATTAGATGTTACCTAGCTATTTGCCTAGTGAAACCAAGCAGGACCCTGTAGGTCCTGAGCTGGCCACCCTCTCCTGTGCCCTCCGACCTCTTGTTTGTAGGAAGGCTTTAGCCTCCAAGGCTTTCCCTGAGTTCCAAAAAGCAGTTTTCCCTGGCTCAGTAAGCAGAAGTTGCACAAATTTATTCTGGCCCTGTCCAGTGTCTTCAATTCCCAGCTACTTCCATGACTTGGCAAAACCCTTTCTCTGTCCAGATACGTGCCCCTCCTGTGTAAGCCTATTGTCTAGTCTGTAGACTTCAGCCTTGTGACGTTTCCCTTCTGTGTCCCGCCACCACCACCTCCAACAACAACCCTCTCACTCCTCAGGCCAAAAGGCAGCATTCTCCTCAGGTTCCCATAAGCATGTAATCAAAGTCGCTCAGGTGTGTCTGACTCTTTGCCACCCCATGGACTATACAGTCCATGGAATTCTCTAGGGCAGAATACTGGAGTAGGTACCTGTTCCCTTCTCCAGGGGATCTTCCCAACCCCGGGGTCAAACCCAGGTCTCCCACATTGCAGGCGGATTCTTTACCAGCCGAGCCACAAGGGAAGCAGCAAGCATACAGGTTCTCCATTTTAGCAGGTCCTCTAGGATTCGTTTATCATTCTAGTTCCTCACTAGATTCTGAGTTCCTTCAGAGTGGGCATTTGGTCCTTTTCATCTGTAGGTCAGCATCCTGACAGTGCCTACATAGTCAAGAAATGTTTGTGTCATGAGGGATCTAAAACCCTGGCTTCTGAATCCTCACTCAAAAGGACCTAGTATCCTTTCGAATGCTCTAACTACCACTACAATCACACTCATCTCACACACTAGCAAAGTAATGCTCAAAATTCTCCAAGCCAGACTTCAACAGTACATGAACCAAGAACTTCCAGATGTTCAAGCTGGATTTAGAAAAGTCAGAGGAACCAGAGATCAAATTGCCAACATCCGTTGGATCATAGAAAAAGCAAGAGAGTTCCAGAAAAACATCTGCTTTATTGACTATGCCAAAGCCTTTGACTGTGTGGATCACAAAAAACTGTGGAAAATTGGGAATACCAGAGTTGGGAAGAGATGGGAATACCAGATCACCTGACCTGCCTCTTAAGAAATCTGTATGCAGGTCAGGGAGCAACAGTTAGAACC